GGGAGAAAAAGCAGCTGCGCCACCGACAGTCTTCTTCGTGGTCCAGGCAACTGCGGAGCTCTCGACGGTGCCCGTTCCTCTACCTCCTCTTCCGAGGGAGATCCTGCGGCGCCGGGACTGCCTCTACCTGAGCCGAAACGGGACGAGCCACGACGATCGGCAGACATGGAGCTGTCGGGCAAAGGAGGAGGAAGTCGGGAGAGAGCCGCGCTTGGCCTGACCTTCGTCCTCCGCCACGGGAGGAGAACCGGCCTGGCCAGCGCCGCCCGCCTACTCCAGGTACGCCTTGCTTGGATCTCAACGTTTCCCGCATCGAGAGCGAGCAAATCCAGGTGGGGGCCACTCTCAGGAAGAGGATGCTCTTTTTGGACTCCAACTCCCATAATCCCCCAGCCAGCATTCTGGGAACTGTAGCCCAATAGAATCAGCATTCTTCTCTCAAATCCCAGGGTTTGGTCTCCTTCACCCGGGAAACCTCCCCCGGCTTGGTGGACTTCATTGGTGTGGGACTCCAACTTTCCAGGGCAAGACCGTCCTCAAGGGGAAGGGAGATTTCCAAATAGTTTTGGAAATATCCTAAGCGAGAGATTTATGGTTCAATGTCTATCTCACTTACCTTGAAAACTGTATAATGGTTGCTATAAATAGACACAACCTATAAAAACCAAAAACATCTAAAAGGTCCCGGGTTGGGCAAGGATGGTCTGAACTGGGGAGGAGGAGAGAGATGGTGTGTAGCTGGAAATAACAGTAGAGGGTGTTAGACTTACGGATGTGGTGTAAAGACAGTGGAGCGAAAACACACACACACCCCATTTCTATCTTTCTTGGCATGCCAGCATTTTGGATGGCTAAAGGACATAGATTAGGGGTTGGCTGAAGGAAAAGAACACAGCCTGTTTTCTCAGATAAATCTGCAATTCATTTCTTTGTAGTCCTAGAAAACACACCGGTCAGTGGGCAAAGTTATGTTGCCCTTCATACATGAAGAGGGCACCTAAAAGTGTCTAAGGCTGCACTCCAAGACACAGCCAGGAACGTAAGAACATAAGAACATGGGATGAGTCCCGCTGGATCAGGCCAAGGGCCCATCTCGTCCAGCTTCCTGTGTCTCACAATGGCCCCGTCAGATGCCTCTTCAGAGCACAGGAGATAACTAGATACTGTACCTGCCTCCTGATACCCCTCCCCTGCATCTGGCACTTGGAGGTCCCTTCCTTTTAAGCCTGGAGATTATACATCCCCCTCATGGCTTGTAAACTGCAATGGACTTTTCCTCCAGAAATCTATCCAATCCCCTTTTAAAGGCATCTAGGCCAGATGCCATCACCACATCCTGTGGCAAGGAGTTCCACAGACTAACAACATGCTGGGTCAAGAAATGTTTTCTTCTGTCTGTTCTCACGCTCCCAACACTCAATTGGAGTGGATGTCCCCAAGAACTGTTCAGTGGTTTAGGCAGAGGTTGACAGTTCAATTCCCCGCTGCCTTCTTGACAGGGGCTGGACTTGATGTCCCATAAGGTTGCTTCCAGCTGTGCAGCTGTAAGGTCTAAGGAGACTTACATGAGAAAAACTCCTTTCTCTGACTTTTTCCTGAGTAGAGGAATATAGGGTAATGTTGCAGGTGTACAAGCATCCTGCCTAATCATAATGTACTATATTTAGCCTATTTACTGTATATGGCTATATAAGGTCAATTCTTATTAAATTATTTGGAAATATCTCTCTCCTCTTTTTTTAGATTTTAAGCTGCCTTGTGGATGGTATTGCCCTGGGAAGTGGCATACCTGAGGAGGAGAGAAGGGTTTTTTTGGTTCCTAAAAGTGTCTCATATTAAAGATCAAGCAGCTCTTGTACAGTATATATAAAATATTTATTACTTAGCTGCTTCCTCTGATCAGTGAACAGCAAAGCTTTAACTATTTTAAGATTATTAAATCTGCTCTTAAGCATTTCATTCTACAAGGCTTTTGGCTTTTAAAAAACAATCATTTTCATAGCTTAAGCAGGCCTGAGTTTGCCTTGCTTTTCAGTACTCCAGACTGATCTTCTAATGGTTAATTTTTAGCAAGTGAATAGTAATGAATCAGTACTAAGAAAAATATTAGTTTCTAGAGAGCAAAATGATTAATCTTTTAATGAAATGGTTTGGAGAGTTTGTGGACAGTGGCATGTAATAATTAAGTAATAATTAATGATTGCTAAGAAAAATATTAGTCTTTTAGGGATCAAAATAATTCATTTTTTAAAAATTTAAGTTCCCAAAGAGTAAGAGCAAAATAATACCCTGAACAGAGGGCAAGGGAAATGACTGGAGAGAATTCATAGCACATCCAGCCTCCTCACCATGTATAGTTTAAACCAGGAATGCGAACATGTGGTGCTCCAAATATTCCTGGAACACAGAACCAATGGTGATGGGAGATGCAGGAGCAGTGCAATAACATCTGGAGGTCTATATATTCTCCATCACAGATGTAAATGGCACTGACACAGGGTTACTCGAATATGAACTTTATTATGAGTAATTAATGCCTCTGAGTGGATGGCTTAAGCTCCAGTCCTGTGTACACTTACATCAGAGTAAATCTCAAGAATAACAGTGAGACTTACATAGAAGTGAGAACCTGAATACAAATGCAGTCAACATAAGTGAGAACCTGAATACAAATGCAGTCAAGATTATTTTATTTATTCATTTATTTAATTAATTTATATGGCACCCACACTACCCAAAGGTCTCTTTTGCTGAAAAGGGTCTGCCTCCAGATTGCTCCTCACAGTTCCTTCTCTTGAAGAAGGTGTACGGGCTACAATTTGGCTTTATTGTTGGTATTTTTCCTTCTGTGAACAACCATGGGCAAATCTAAAAAATAGTGTATGTAATAATGACTTTCCTTTTTACAGCTGTTTGATGTAAAAATCCATCATATTGAAACCAGACCAGCTAGAATGCCTCAAAACCCAGCTGAGGACCTTGAATTCTTTGTGAAGTGTGAAGTCCTGGACTGCAAAGTCAGCAGCCTCATCAGTTCCCTAAAGAAGGTGGCAGAGGACGTGGAAGGTAACAGAGAGGGAAAAGGTATGTGCACTGGTTAATGATGATTCCCCTTCACTTTCCTACATGACACTCACCTGTTAACAGCAGTAAAATATTAGTTAGGAATATTTAAAAGTAATAAGGATTTTTTAAAAATGATTTAGTCCTTTGGGTCAGGATCCAAAGTACCACTTGTCATCTAAATGCATATTATCCCACATCTACTTTGTCTGTTGTTGTTGGTTTTTTTATGTGAAATTCTATGTCCAGACTGCAAAAGTATTAAATTTGAATTTCTGAATATCCAAAAGAGGGAATCCATGACAATGATTTCTTATCCTGAAATAAAAGAACCATGGTCATAGCGTTGGAACGGAGCTCAAGAAATTAGAACCCAACTCTCCACTTGACTTTGAAAATCACTAGATAGCCTACCTCACTGGGCTATTGTGAAGATAAATGGAGAGGAGAATTGACATGTAAAATTGCCCTGAACTCTGGAAGGAAAGGCAGGATATAAATGTGAATAACAAAAGTAGTAGCAGCAGCAACAACAACAACATTGTTGTTTGACATATGTTTGATTTAGCAGTAATAGCATTCATAGTGGTACTTTAATAGTAGTAATAACAAGTGATTTGTCAAGTCACTTATGGCTTACCACAATAAGGCTTTTGAGGACTGTGAGATGTTGGAGGAATGGTTTACCGGCAGAAGCTCGTACCATTAAGTTGCCATGGCTGAACAAGGATCTGAACTCAGGTCTCCAGAGACCTAGTCTAACACTCTGTCCACTACACCATGCTGACTATCAATGGCAATCTTTTTCTATTGGGAGAGAAGAATGTGTGACTCTCCAAGTGTTTTGGACTACAGTTTATTGACTGATTGGTTTTATATCATTTGTAGGCCAGCAAGGGGACCCAAGACAACTCACAATGTTAAAACAAATAACACTAAAAACACTAAAAACACTAAA